AAATAATGGAAAAAAAAAATTTTTTTGATTTCAGGGAATTATTGACTAGCGCTGGTTAATCAAATTGTGGGTTAAACTTTTTATGATATAGGCTGGGAAACAATTTATTAAGATTGAAATTATACATTTTAGTAATAGTTAGGTACTTCGACCCATTGTTGAACAACGGGATAATGTGATACAAATAAATCGAATGATATTATCGTAAAAACTAGTCAAACTAGTCAAAATTAATTTGTTGAAATATAAATATCACTTTATAAAAAATTTGTTGAAATTATTTTTTCAATTTCAGCTAGTAACATTATGCTAGACACATTAAACAACTGAATTTTAGTTTATAGATAAAAGCTGGCAATGTATTTACTTTAAATTTAATTACCACGGTTAAAAATTACAGTATTGGAGTGAGAATTAGGGATTCTGTTACATTATCAAACTAGTTACTGATTTATATTAAAAAAGTGTTAAACCTTAATAAATTTTCCTATCTAATATCTGATATATATATTTTTTTATATGTGCGCATATAAATAAGTTATAATAACATAATTAATAATAAATTTAAGCATAATAAACTTATAAATTCTTGCAAAGGCAAGTATTACACGCACAATACATTTAGATCATATGTTAAAAAGTGCAAATACTGTATATTACAATTAACAGTATTAATTTAATTCTAAGATAATTATTTATACTTATTAAAATATTACATTTATTTATAACACAATCCCACAGAATTAAAAGAAAAAATGTCCGAATATTGTTAGATAGTTTAAATATTACTAATAAATTTCTAACAAATTACTAACAAATTAGTTATAAATTCCTGGAATAACGTTCACACAACCATCTTCACTTCTGCCACGAGGACAGTTATCTTTGGCATCAGGACCATTGCAACAACGAATGCAGAAATGACCAATGCCAGAGCCATCGACGTTAGGCTCGACAAGGTTCACAAAAGTATCATATCCATGACAGGATGCACCCTGAGGAGCAAAGGGATCATATTGGCCGCCAGGGTCAGTTGAGACCACGTACACATTTGAATTAATGGTTCCAGTGATTTGAACGTAATCATCACGTTGTGCAAAATACATTGTTCGGATGAGGTCCTTTGGAAATACAGCCGCATTAGGAGCATTGACGGTTGGTACGGAACAGAATGCAATAGCGTCACTTTCACTTGCACCAATCTCTATGCCAGGTCCTCGTGGAAGAAAGGAACAGAATACCTTTTCACTTTCTACCGTAGCAATTATCGGATCGCCTGAGTCGCGAGTATATAATTTATTAACATCTACAGCGACGGCATGAACATATGTGATTACTGTGATGATAAAAACTAATATAGATAATTTATTCATGTTTATTGTAAGAATTTGATTTAAAAATTTGGAAATCTTAAAGAATAAATGTTCGTTTTTGATTGTAAAAATTCAATTTTAAGATTTTGAAATCTTGAGAATAAATAATTGTTTTTTTTTTTTGGATGAAATAAATCGAGAGAATTGAGTGTTTATATAAGAAATTTTAAGCACTCGGATTTACATGAATTTTTAACGTTAAGTGGAAATTTCATAGAGAAACATTTTTATTAGTGAGAATCTATTTACTCTACCAGATCAAGAAACAATCAGCATTTTTATGATTTAATTTTTTTTAGAAAGGACAGTAGTAATTAGAATACATTAATTTATTCATCACCCGATTTGATATTAGCTTTTTTTTTTTAAAAAAAAATAACGTCAGTTAGGTTTAGAATAGGGGTAACAACATTATTTATCAAGTATAACCGAAAAGTTTATTTTTATCAAAAATACAAAATCTTGTGAGAATTTTTTTTTTTATAAAGTTTATAATATTAATTAATACATTACATAGATTACGTATTTATTTACAAATTTATAGAACAGGAACTCGGGTGTCGAATAATTGGATATTCTCATATATTATTTACTACGTACATATTAAGCAAACAATCAAACAATATCCAATAATAATTCCGTTGTCTTGGTTTCCAAAAAGGCTAACCTTATATATTTCATTCTAACATGTAAAATACATATTAAACCTATTTATAGTCTCGTAGATCGTCATAGATCATCATATTAACGTTAAATTAGAACTGACTCCGAGATTTTCTCAATTCTTTAAAACATTAATGAATTCTATACGATCATATTGATATAATTACAATATAGTTGATTTTCAGTTTCCAAAAATAGTACAAAAAAAAAAATAATATACGTGATTTTCAACTATTTCGAAAAAATAATTCCAAAAACGTGACAATTAACATGATAAGAAGTTATGCACCATATGGAATCTAAAAAGGGGAAATCTTCAGAGCTGCATGTATGTAACTAAAATTAGAGTCAGGGTTTGAATGAAGCTTAATGGTGACGCAAGTGTCATAAGTTAAATTATTCATCATTTCCTTTCTTATTACATAAAGTTAATTCCTCAAAATGTGATTATTTTTCATATTTCTCACGTTTTTCACTCATTGGTTTTGTCAAATGATTAATCATAATTTGATTAATTAGTCGATCTATCTGACTTAATGGAAATCCATAAAAATACATTCACTTTATTGAAATCTTCCAACGAAATGTAATAATTGGGTAATTCCTTAAAGTTCGGTTATTTTTAGGACTAAATAATGCATTAATAATTCAATAATAATTCAATAATAATTCAATAATAATTCAATAATAATTCAATGAAAATAAAGGAAATCTTTTTGTCAAATCACGTAAGTGGTCTCCTGAACAAATTTTTGGAAAATAAACGATTTTGTTTCTTAACTACTTTGGATTTTTTTGTTTCCAACTATGTGATAGCTAGCATCACATAACTAAGTATTTGTCGTACAGTCAAACTTTCGTAAATGCATATCATCGGGGCCAAACTTTTGAGGGCTTGCATTTAGAGAACAATAATAAAAAATGCATTTATGGGAGTTTAGTATATATTTGGGCTAGAAAATTAATATGCATTTAAGGAGGCCATGCACTTAGGGGGATGCATTTAAGGAGGCCATGCACTTAGGGGGGATGCATTTAGGGGGGCCGGCTGTACGTACTTATGTACAGTACCTTATGGTAGATAGTTAATTGTAATTATATCGTTCAGTAAACACAAAGTTTAAAATTTTTTCACCCTTCGAGTCTAAACTTATCACGTGCATTTATGATATGTGTTTCTATTGGTATATATTGGTATATTCGGAATTATTTCCAATTCGTGAAATATTAATAGAATAAATAAATCAAACGATTTACAAGGGTGCGTGCAAAAAAAAATTGTTGGAAAATCCATGCATTAAATTTTCGTCTGTGAATTCTCAGATCAATTCAACCACTTTAGTGGAATAACGCTAAAAAAAGTGTCCAAAATAAATTTATGAAATTAAATTGACATGATATTTTTGTTTAATGCTTGTCTAGATGTATAGTGATACTATGTTTATAATGATAGGTATAGTAGTAGAATACCGGCAATATAACTATACACATAGTGAATACGTAATTCTAATTTTAGAATTTCGCAAAATGGTTTATTTATAAATTCATGTTTACAATTAAAATTGTTCTATTTTAAAAATCGTCGATTGATTGATTACGAAATTATTAAAACCGTAAATACAATAGTACTTGATACAGTAGATGAAATTTGCAATTCAAATTTAAATAATAACTCGGTACATTGAATGTTTACTTTAAATTTCATATCTTTATTTTCATATGTATTACTTATTTATTTAATTTCATATCTTTATTTTCATATGTATTACTTATTTATTTAATTTCATATCTTTATTTTCATATGTATTACTTATTTATTTAATTTCATATTTTTATTTTCATTTACATTACTTATTCATTGAATTTCAAATTACCTATTCATTGAATTTCAAATTACTTATTTTCATTTACATTATTTATTCATTGAATTTCATATTTTTATTTTCATTTACTCACTTAAATCTATTTTTATTTTCATTTACTCACTTAAATCTATTTTTATTTTCATTTACATTACTTATTCACTTATCTATTTTTATCTTACATCGCATTGTAGCCAAATTCGTCATGATTGAAATATAAAATATATTTGATATATTCCATACTACAGTTCATTTTAAGCTATACTATAATACGAGACGGTCTAAGGGATAAAAACATGAAAGTGAAATAATCTTTGAAAGTCATAATAAGTCGTATTAACTGTATTATCTTGAAAGAAAATTCATGAGATTTTCATTTATCCCAAAATTATTTATTGTTCACTAAATAGTCTAGAAAGAATATAAAATTTTTACTTGTTATATTCCTTATCGACCTTATCGATTATTTAAAATCATATGAAGACAATATACTATGTACTGTATATATGTAAATCATATTCCAATTTTAGCAGATTATATAGTTTGGAACTCACAATAGAATTTTCATAGAATTTTCATAGAATTTTCATATGATTTTCTATTATTTTTATGATCTCAAAGAAAAACTAAGCTTTTGGTTTTTACATAATATACAGCCTTTAAAAAAAAATCTGATCTGCGACATTTAACGAAATTAGTGGAAGAAGCAAAGTGACATAAATGAATTTTCTGCACTTAAAGTTTACGATTTATGTGTGTAAATGTATATATGTTTTAAAATTATGGTCGAAATTCACACATTGAAATTTTTTAAATTCATTTATTTTTTAAGCTTTGATATTCTCTGTATTTA